ATAGAACCTACTATTTGTCAGCACAACAGGGTGACTATAGTCAATAGTATACATTTTAAGATAACTAAAAGAGTATAATTGGATTGCTTTTAACACAAAGGATAAATGCTTGAAGGGATGGATAACCCATTCTACATGATGTGATTATTATGCATTGCATGCTTGTACCAAAACATCTCATGTACCTCATAAATATATATACCTACCATGTACCTACAAAAATTAAAAAAAGAAAGAAAAGACATACTCATAGAAAACTAGCAAACAATTCAAGATAGTGTATAATAAGCAGAAAATGAGAGGAGGTGATAATCTTGTCATAAAAGTCACACAGGTTGGGAGAAAGAATGGGAATCATTAAGGCCTGGATTGTTCAGTAAAAGCTTCATCAAGATGATACTTAAACTGAAATTTGGAAGGATTTGATTTAGATGAACCAAGAATCTGGGATTGGGCATGATGAAAGGGGGGAAACAGAAAAGTAATGGAAAATTTAGGAATGAGACATAAACTAGCCTATCTCTTGAGTACAGTGGAAAGTTGACAGCTCATTCTTTCAGAGGGTAGCAACTGGGAGATGATCTATGCAAAATGATCTTGGAAATAAATCTGGTGATAACTTTAAAGGGTTACCACATATAATTGTTTTAGATGAGGTTCTTTTGCTGGCAAAGAACAGAAGCCACTCAAACTAACTCAAGTAAAAATGAGATGATAGTATTGTAAAATTATAAAAGGAGATCTCTTGTACATTCAAAATTAGTACATAAGCCAGAAACCATACCCTCTGTATGACTCAGAGCCACATTATCTCAACTTCTCCTCTTATGTCTGCCTCATTCTTTTTCACTTAGTCCATTTACTCTGCTTATTCTTCTTCCACATGTTTAAATATGGCTGCCATGATCTTTTCCTTGACATCAAAATCTTGTATTTCCAGCATCTATTACTAACTAACTATATTCTATTTTTTCTGTTTAAATGCTTAAGAGAAAGAGAAACTCTTTAGTAGCTAGCCAGGCAGTTCATTGGCTGGTTTAGATATGGTATCCACTCCAGTCCAACCAGCCATCGCTCCTAAACAGGAACTACCCAGTGGTGTCTCCCTGCATTGGGAGTTCTGGGCAGAGCAATCTAGGACAGAAGAGGAAATAGACTGATATGCTGCGTGCTACTCAGAACCATTAGACTTGCAAGGAACATTTTGTGTGTTCTATATACATTTGAGAAACATCTGGTCTATGTCTCTCCCTTTAGGAAGAATTTACCTAAAGCTCTCTTCTGAAGGAACTATGGTGTTCTGAAAAACATTGATTCTAGATTGAATGTGGACTCTACCACCTCTTAAACTGAGCTTCAACTTCCCATCTGCAGAATGGAGATAATAATGTCTACGTATTGGAGTTGTCTGGAATATTAATGAGATAATATAGATTCTATTCTCTGCTTGAAAAAAGGCAAGAGCTTAGTAAATGGGATTTCTTTCATTTATTTGATATGTTATGAACATACCATAACAGAAAATTGTTTGCAATGCATTTCAACTTATTTTTAATTGCACAAGTGATATATGAATATGTCAATACTTTAAAGCAAATACTAGATGTTATATTATTTCACTGGTAAATAATTTAGCATGTGTCTTTTATAAACAAGGTCTTTTAAGAAACAGCCACAATACCATTATCACACTCAGTACATTAAAAATAATTCCTTGATAATCACCAATAGTACATTTATATTTGATTTTCTTCAATATTTGTTTCACAAATATCTTTTTATCATCGGTTGGTTTGATTCAAAATCCAAAAGGAGTCTACATATTGCATTTGGTTGGTATGTCTTACATATTTCAGTCTGTAACATTCTCCCTCCTTTTCTATGCCATATATTTGTTGAGAAAAATGAGGTAATTATTCCTGTAGAATTTTCCAATTCAGAATTTGGCTGATTGTATCCTCATAGCATCATTTAGCAGGTTATTCTATCACAATTTTCCTGAAGACTGGCACATAAATCTAGGGGCTTAATTAGATTTAGATTCAAATTATTTTTCTAGTAAAACTACAAATGTTTTATACTATATATTTTTTAAGTTGTGAAATTAAAAGAGCAACTCAATAGTTCCTATGGTATTTTGCACCTAGAAAGACAAAATTCCTAATAGAGAAGGAAGTAAGCCATTTACTCTGGTTTCTGACTGAGTAAATCACCTTTACTCAGAGAGTTAGTGGTAATTATGACTGCTATCTGCCAGAAAATGCAGATAGAAGTCATAGTTATCATTTTATCTCTAAAAAATTTATTAGAGATATCTCTAGTCATATGCATCTTTGGCTGAAGATGTTCACATACCTTTAATTAAAGATACCAATTTCTTGCCTACATTCCACGCTAGGAAAATGTTTAAAATGGCTAATGAATAAAGAAGATACTAGAGGAAAATAGAACTTTCTTTTAAATTTTTATTTGTATTTGTTTAAAATTAAAGCAAACACAGATCCATTGAAGGAGGACTGTTGTCTTGTTCTGGAATGTTGAGGCTTGGGATTGTCTAATAAATAATAGCCTTCTCTTCCCTACCTAATTTGAGAACAGAGAGATAGAAATCAGAGAGACATAAATATAAAAATAGTTGCATCTACATCTGCTAAAGATGTTTCGGGAATGTAACTCAAGTCTATAGTAATAATGGACTTGCAGACACTCTCTTATCTTCTATAGTAGACTTGCCATTCTTCTAGACAGGGTCAGTTAAACAACCATAGGCCTCCCTGAGCCTAATGTACAAGCCAGGTTCTTTTTTCCAAACTTGCCACTGAATAATTCATTCCCCCTTCCCTAGTAGGAGGAGGAAAGTAAGGGAGGAGTCAGGGTGCAGCCAAGAGTGGTAAACCAATGGAGGTCTAATCAACATGAAAACAAGTGGAAATAAGTATTCCTCTTCCCTGAAATCCATGATATAAAAGAGTGTCATAGGTAGAACCCAGTTTAAACACAGTATTGTCAGCAATAAAGACCTTCACATGTAGTTGGTCTCAACTCATATCAACTTCCACACTATAGTAGCTTATGTTCAATTGAATGAACTTTTGTGGAGTATGTGCAAATCACAGTGCTGGCAGATTCCAAGATGGAAAAAGACATACTCTTTGCCTGCCAAAGTCTCATCCTCTAGTGGGTTCTCAGACAGGTGTACACAAGATAACTGTGCCCTTATCTTGTGGCCCACTGTGCTAGAAACTATATGGGGAGTATGCAGACACGGAGATGTGCTGCCCAGATCTCCCTTGAAGAAGAGACTTGCCCAGCTGCAGGAGGCGTGGTTAGCTGAAGCCTCCAACTACGAGCTCTTTCAGGGTCCACTTCAGCTTTCAAGCTGTGATCATGTTCTCTTGGGTGGTTCCTGCCCAGTGACTGAGGCAGGTAGTAACTGAGATCACATTCTTCTTAGGGTGACCCCATGCAATTACTAAGCAAGGTGATTATACATGGGCCTGGAAATTTCCTACTGGGCTTGTGCAGAATGAGCAGCTGTCCCAGTTTGCTTGAAATGAGATATTTCCCAGGATGTAGAACTTACCATGCTAAAACTGGAAAATTTCCAGGCAAACCAAGATGTTTAGTCACCCTCACTGGTGTAGACCTTGTCAGGTCTACCTTAAGGACTGACAGCTCCCTCTTCCTATCCTACTTCCTCCCCTTTTTTCTTTCACAGGTATTGCTCCTCAATAAAACTTATACTTCTTACTTCATCTCAGTGTCTGCTTCCCAGAGCACTCAACCGGGGACATGGACACAAATAGCTCACAAACCAGGAAGAACCTAAATATTTCAACAGAAGATAAGGCTGAGATTAGGAAGGCGAGGGAAAAATCAATTTGAAAATTACAGGGATTCTTCTGGGTATGACTTTTTCAGGGTATCATTTATTATGCATCCTTTGAAAAAGAAAAGAGGTGGCTAGGTGCAGTAGCTCACGCCTGTAATTTCAGCACTTTGGGAGGCCAGGGCGGGTGGATCACCTGAGGTCGGGAGTTCGAGACCAGCCTGACCAACATGGGGAAACTCTATCTCTACTAAAAACACCAAAAAATTAGCAGAGCATGGTGGCGCATACCTGTAATCCCAGCTACTTGGGAGGCTGAGACAGGAGAATCACTTGAACCCGGGAGGCGGAGGTTGCAGTGAGCTGAGATCGTGCCATTGCACTCCAGACTGGGCAACAAGAGCTGGGCAACAAACTCCGTTAAAAAAAAAAAAAAAAAGAAAAGAGGCATATTTAAAATACTCAATGACTTAAGGTTCCCTGAAGTGGATCTGAATACTCAAAATGAAGGTTTTGCCAAAAAAAAAGCCAACCTCCTTGTCTCTGTGTCCTTTAAGCAGCAACATGTTTTGTTATTAATTTCTATGATTTAAGAAGAAAAACAAAAGGAACTTCAGAGCTTTCCTAAGAAGTATTCTTAAAATCAAGAGAGAGTGAGTTGTACAACATGGTGACTATAGTCAATAATCATGTATTGCACACTCAAAATTTGCTAAGAGTCAATTTTAAGTGTTCTCATTTTAAAAAGATAAGTATGTGAGGTAGTGTAGATGTGAATTAGCTCAATCTAGTCATTCCACAATGTATACATATTTTAAAACATCATGTTGTATACAGTAAATATATATTATTTTTATGTTAAATTATTTTAAAAGTTAGCTTTAAACTAAGAAAAAAAGAGAATATGAGTGTAATCGTACTTCTGGAGAAAGGAGAAGGCATCCTTCAGGGCTAGGTTAGAGTGAGGCAATTGGGGTATTTGTAGTACAAAATTTAAGGAGGCACTCAGTCTCAGGGTCATAGAGCTCAAAGTTGAAACCCTTATGGACTTGAAAGTTAGCATCTCCATAAATATTGTACCCTAGGTGTCTCACTTGCCTCAACTTAGTCCTGACCCTGGTATTCAGAATAATATTATGCCACTGATGGGGCTCCTTCTTTCCTGCCCTAGATACAAAGCCATTGTCCGGCCAATGGATATCCAGGCCTCTCATGCCCTGATGAAGATCTGCCTCAAAGCTGCCTTTATCTGGATCATCTCCATGCTGCTGGCCATCCCAGAGGCTGTGTTTTCTGACCTCCATCCCTTCCACGAGGAAAGCACCAACCAGACCTTCATTAGTTGTGCCCCGTACCCACACTCTAATGAGCTGCACCCCAAAATCCACTCCATGGCTTCCTTTCTGGTCTTCTACATCATCCCACTGTCAATCATCTCTGTTTACTACTACTTCATTGCTAAAAATCTGATCCAGAGTGCTTACAATCTTCCCGTGGAAGGGAATATACATGTCAAGAAGCAGGTGGGTGCTTAAGATTGATTCATTTCCTCTTTGGGGATATAATCCCTTGCATTTCTTTTGGACCCCACTGAAAAGCCAGGACACTTGATTCTGCAGTTAGATGAGGTGGGTGATCTGTGGCCAGATGCGAAATGGAAATACCTAGCCATGGAAACCCAAGGTGTTCTTTATAATCTTATTCTCCTATTAAAGACCTAAGCTAGGGAGGTGTTGTGAACCTGAAACATTTCAAGTGTGGGTTTCTTTTTGAGGAATAATCTGAAAAAGAGTTGTATTTTAAAAATAAATAAATAAATAAAGCTTTGAGGCTTATGGGGATGTGACTTTTTTAAACTCCAGTCACATTGTTTGCCTAGAAAGAGGGTTACCACATGGAAAAAAAGCAGAGAAGCCTGGAAAATGAGGCCAGTTGAAGAAAAAGAAGTAGTTTGACTAGGATAGGCTCACACTGATTTGGGCTCAAATCCAAGCTTCATAATGTACTCAGCCTCTCTGAGCCTAAGTTTTCTTACCTATCAGATAGCCTAATAATCCCTACATTGTAAAGCTATTAGAAAATTACAAGAGAGAGTATATGGAAGGCCTACAGTGCCCAGCATGCAAAATGCCCTCCGTATGATTAGACACCCTCTCTTGTCCCCCATAACACCCCATAATTTCATCCTTGAGGTACAAACAAATGGTAGAAAGCAAGAGCTCTGGCTTCCTCCCTCTTCCTCAGTTCTTGCCTTCTAGCTTAGGTGTAGATCATGTAGCATCTACGATGGAAAAGCAGAAACACTCCCCAATCCATTTTAGTGAATTGTTGACTCACTTGGAGACCTTACCCTTTCAAGTTTATTATTTATTTGTCTCAATTGTGGGGGAAGAGTGGCAGTTCCCAGTGAAACTACCTTCTTACTTGAAAAACCTCTCATTAGCCAACATCCATTATACCCCAAACTCTTTAGGGAGAAACATGTTTCCCCTTGAGGTAGTAGATGGAGTTGGGAGCAAAAGGAGATGTTCATTCCTCTTTGTTGCAGTACCTTCCTACTATAGTCCAGAAATAACTCAAGGTTTTAAAATAATAATACTAGATAGTTATCTTTATTTAGCCAGTTAAGAAGGACAAAGTTGGCTGGTCTTTTTGAGCATCAGAGAGAATAAGAAATTATTAGCTGCAGAGCAAAGAAAGACATGAAGTCGTGTGGCTGATAGACTGCACCAATGCTCTCCTGAGGAAAAAGGGGGCACTTATTAGAATTGCATTTTGCAATCTATTCAAACATGTCATCAACTTTGTTTAAAGATCTGTTCTCAGTGGTGTGTTCTAACTCTATTCTTCCTTGTGGGTTTCTGCTTCCTGGCTGATCTATTTGTGTGTTTCTGACTCTTTCTTCCTTTTCTGTTTCTGTTGCCTTTCTCTCATTTTATTGGATTCTATCTTACCTTCTCCTTTTTTGTGAACTTTTTTTCTGTGGCTTTGTGAACTCATCTATTGCCCTAATTGTTTTTCCCTGTCTCTTTCTCTGACTGAATCTTTGTCTCTCTGCATTTTTCTGACACTGTCCCTTGGTTCCTCTATCTCTCTCCATATGACTCTCTCCTTAGATCGAATCCCGGAAGCGACTTGCCAAGACAGTGCTGGTGTTTGTGGCCCTGTTCGCCTTCTGCTGGCTCCCCAATCACGTCATCTACCTGTACCGCTCCTACCACTACTCTGAAGTGGACACCTCCATGCTCCACTTTGTCACCAGCATCTGTGCCCGCCTCCTGGCCTTCACCAACTCCTGCGTAAACCCCTTTGCCCTCTACCTGCTGAGCAAGAGTTTCAGGAAGCAGTTCAACACTCAGCTCCTCTGTTGCCGGCCTGGGCTGATCATCCGGTCTCACAGCACTGGAAGGAGTACCACCTGCATGACCTCCCTCAAGAGTACCAACCCCTCTGTGGCCACCTTTAGCCTCATCAATGGAAACATCTGTCATGAGCGGTATGTCTAGATTGACCTTTGACTTTGCCCCCTGAGGGACTCTTGGTTTTGCTTTATGACTAGATAGGAACTCTTGCATCTATTGTTGTGTTTTTGCCCTCCAAAGACCCTTCAGAATGCTTGTGAGTGGTGTAGGTGGGGGCGGGGGTGGGGGCCAAAATGGTAGATCACTGTTATATTTTGAAAGAAGCCATCAAGTCAGGTTTTTCATTTCAACTTGCGAATGTTTCTTCTGATGTGAAGCAAACCTTCCCTTTTTAGAAAAGTGAACAAGTAGAAAATTATTTTTTAAGCATCAAGCCCTGTTAAACGGTTGTGGCCAATTATGTCATAGAAACTGTATGAACAACTAGATTTATATAGCAGAGAAATCATATATTGAATGCTTACTTTGTGAAAGACTTCACCTTGTGATTTCTTTAAGCAGATGCTAGTGCTTTAGAAATATGACTTGACTTTTTTTTTTTTTTAGGAATATCTGTAATATACAAACCAAGGGACAACTTTTATTTACACTCCTAATATGAAAAGTCAACCCTGTGAAAGAGCTCCATATATGAGGGACATTCTCCAAGTTGATAACAATGGAAGCTAGTTTAATATAAAACAATTCCCTAAGCATTTATTTTTTAAAAAAAGATGTTACTGAGGACCAAGGAGAAATGCTCTATACATACTTTTAAAGCAAAAATACAACCAAATACATTGGTACATATATAAAGATTCACGTGTGGCTGTGCAGTGATATCTCACACTCCGAATTCTTACTTGATGGAAGTCTTGTCTGCTGCTACACAGTTTTAATCATCCAGGGTGCTGTTCCGCCATAGAAGAGAAATCAATTTAGGAAAAAATTGATCATGCTATTAATTCATCAAATATCTATAAATGCATAAAGTACAGTATTTATTCTTGATACATAGGTTTTGAGCCAAGTGTATTTACTTAGATTTGTCTGACTGCTACACTGAATCAGTAGTTTCACTATAAGAAAGAAGTGATTGTATCTGAGTAGAAATAGGAACATGTTTATATTTAATGTATGCTTCTCCTAACGTTTGTGGGAGGAAGTGAATAAAATTTCAGTAACACATATTTTTGTCTGAATATGCATAAGAAAGTCACAGGGGTCTTAACTTTAGGAACTGATTAAAAAACAGCTACAGACTTGTTTCTACTTAAGAAGAGTATTTATGAAAGAGCCCATGTACAGAAAAAGACTTGGCTGAAATATTTTTCTTTTTCTGAGTTTAATTGGCTCTAAAAAGATTTGATTACCTTACTTTAGAAACCCTGAATCGAGTTTTTCTTCACTCAAAGGCAGGGAAATTTTGACAGGTTGCAAACATATTAACCCACTTTCTTTTTT